GTAGAAAATGCAGGAAAACGAACAGTAACGGACGAATTTCTTGTTCTTGTCTGGAAATTGGGTACTTAAAGTGCCGACAAAACAAACAAACTGAAAGTGCCACACATTCAGAGGTAATGACCTCATGTTATTTGTCCTGACATAAGAGGAAAAAAATTCCAACAGAGAACAGTGGAACACAAGGCTGTGCCTGGACGTGATCATCACAGACATGTCCCGTTCCTGAAAACAGAGATAGAGCAGGCATCATGAACTAGAAGATTCAGCTGTTCACTGATTACCTCTTCTTGTTTCCATTGGATCAGAACTGAAGAAAGAAAAAAGACACATCCTACAAAAGTACAGGGTGCTGATTTGAAAGTCCAACTGAACCTTCCAATGAGGAAATTCAAGCAGCTGCAGACATTCTTTTCAAAACATGGCCTGAGGATTCTTGTGAGAGGAATGTCTACAGAGAGCTTAAAGGTAATTCATGTTACTTATACATGTGCATGCATGTATTCATATTGTTTACAAATTGCAGAGTTTATTTTCTGGGGGGAAGTCAAACATATCTTTAAGCCAATGGTGTGTTTTTAACATTGACATTTGCATCATGTTGATTTAGTTTTTAGTAATTTTGTTATACAAGTGAGTATTTAAAGTCATTTTTGCAATTGGTACAGATGAAGGTATTACTTTCAATTCCATTTACAAAGTGCCTTGTACTGGAGCCTAGTATAATGGTCGAGTATGATACATGATGGTTTCAGTTAGACAAGAGAGAGCAAATGCAGTCACAACAACCATTGTTGCTTTGACAGGTACCCGTTTCACCTTGCATAAGGGCACAATTACCATGAGCCAGGTTGGTGTCAAACTCATAAACTGCAGCTTCACCTGCAGCCCGTGAATTCAGAGTCCAGGCATTCCAAATGATGCTTTCATCAAGAAAGGTTTTAGATAGTGCCAGGCATCTTGATATGTAATCTATTATTTGGTGTCTCTATGTTTGTTTATTTTTTACTTTTTTACAGGTCAGAATCACCCTCCCGGGTTTTCTTGATATTGCTATCTTGGCTGTTTTCTTACTTGGAAAAACTTCCCCAGGCTTCATGGTCCAATCTAGCTGGTGTCTATGACAACAGGTGCCATTTGGATAACAAGACTGTGGCAAGGAAGCCTTTACTGCTCATCTGGCCTTGGTTCCACATGTGGTTGTGTATACACAAGTGTGTGGATAGATTGCACATTCGAAACCATATGGACAAATCATGCAAGTCAAAGTATCATCCAAGTGAACATCGTCCTGAGACTGACAACACTCTAAGTGTTGAACAGACTTTTGTTTGGCTGTCATGATTAAAACAAATATTATGTGCGATGCCCAAATTGAATCATGTC